ATTATTATTTTGGGGCGTATTATCATCAGCTCCATAACTGTAATGCTCGTGTTAAAAAAATGTTTATGAATATTGAATACATTACAGTAAAACATGTCAAAAAATAAATGCATGTTAAAAAGTGTGAAGACTTTAAACATAAAATAAAAGCAGAAATTGCAACAACTACAAAAGAAGAATAAACGAACGACAGGAAGTTGCGATAGGGAAGCGCTGAAAGTGCTGTGCAATTTCCGGTACTCATTACGTACAACAGTAAAGTCTCCAGCGTCCCTTCAATGAAAACTATTCCTAAATTATTTGATAGCCTGAGGAAGGAATTTTACATTTTCTAATAACGACACAGAACATCACCAAAATTATCTCCAACTCCCCTCTTAACTCGATCTGCAAGCACAAATACACACGCACACATATAAGGCTGTTTATCAACCAGAGCAATTTATAGTTCGCTCTCGCTCACGCATCGGTTTCTCTCCCTCTCTCCTTATCTATCTATCTATCTATCTATCTATCTATCTATCTATCTATCTATCTATCTATCTATCTATCTGTCTATCATAAAGAAAAATCTATATCTATGGATCGCATGTAAAAATACATCTATCTATCTAGCTTGCTAGCTATCTTATCAAAATCAAGTACATCATATCTATGGATATCGCTTAAAAACACATCTATCTATCTATCTATCTACCTATCTATCTATCTATCTATCTATCCTTATCAAAATCAAATATATCATATATATGGATCGCGCTTAAAAATACATCCATCCATCTATCTATCTATCTATCTATCTCATTAAAATCAAGTATACCATATCTATGGATATCTCTTAAAAACACATCTATCTATCTATCTATCTATCTATCTATCTATCTATCTATCTATCTATCTATCTATCTATCTATCCTTATCAAAATCAAATATATCATATATATGGACCGCGCTTAAAAATACATCTATCTATCTATCTATCTATCTATCTATCTATCTATCTATCTATCTATCTATCCTTACCAAAATCAAATATATCATATGCATGGATCTCACTTAAAAATGCATCTATCTATCTATCTATCTATCTATCTATCTATCTATCTATCTATCTATCAACCCTTATCAAAATCAAGTAATTCATATCTACGGATCTCGCTTAACAATACATCTATCTATCTATCTATCTATCTATCTATCTATCTATCTATCTATCCTTATCAAAATCAAATATATCATATCTATGGATCTAGCTTAAAAATACTTCTATCTATCTATCTATCTATCTATCTATCTATCTATCACGTACCCCCAAGAATATTCGAATTGCAACCATATCATGTTGAAAAGCAACGATGATCATTGTCAATACCTAGACGGGGGATTGCTTATAAAAACCAGTAGGTAGGTTGGACGTGCATGTGGTGTCATGGATAACGGCCCAGAAAATGGAATGATCCACCATTTCTCCCCACTCTAAGCTATATATCTGTAGATCATTATTATCTCGAAGAAATTAAAAAAAAATCTTAAAATGTAAAAAATATTTTCTGGTTCATATAACCTGCAAAATGTTGATAAAACTGAAAAATAAAAGCAAATTAATCAACTTAGAACTATCTTCCGATGATCTATCTATCGATTGATTTTCAACTTTTTAATCACTTTCATGTGTTCAGATCTATCCTACTTTACTCGTTTCTGTCTACCTGTCTATCTATGTATTGATCGTTCAGTTGACCTCATGAAGTCTATGTTTCAATAATTACACAGTATATTATACATTTTTTCGATGCACACACACAGAAACACATGCATGTTTCCAACTGTGTGAGGTCTGCATTCATGTGAATCTATATTCATGTGAAGTGCAGCCTAAATAGATTTATTTTGTATAATCTTTAAAATCGATTACTTGGACATAGGCGTAAATTAACTCATCTGACAGGACTAGTAGTTTCAACACCGCCTGTACGCTCAATTCCGCTGTCAGAATGAGTTGTAACTTCATGCTAGCACAATCAACGCTGGTTTCAAAACAGTACCGTTTAGGCAATTTCAGGGTTGGTGAAACACGTGGCATGGTTATCAGGTACCATCTAACGGTGCAGCACACTGAGATCGCCTTCCCAGACAGATAAAATTGAGAAACATACCTCAATCAAGGTGAGTTTCGAACCCAATAACTCTCTGCCTCGATAACACTCAAAAATAAATACATGCATACATACATCTATCTATCTATCTATCTATCTATCTATCTATCTATCTCATACTCTCCAGAAAACTCGGACTACGGCCATATCATAACATTGAGAAACTTACCTTTCTGAAAAAACAATCATGCTGAGATTCGGACCCAATAACATTCTGCCTCTATCACACTCAAAAATACATCTATCTATCTATCTATCTATCTATCTATCTATCTATCTATCTATCTATCTATCTATCTATCTATCTCAAAATCAGCTATATCATATCTATGAATCTCGCTTAAAAATCTATCTATCTATCCTAATCAAAATCAAGTATATCACATCTATCGATCTCGCTTGAAAATGCATCTATCTATCTATCTATCTATCTATCTATCTATCTATCTATCTATCTATCCTAATCAAAATCAAGTATATCACATCTATCGATCTCGCTTGAAAATACATCTATCTATCTATCTATCTATCTATCTATCTATCTATCTATCTATCTATCTATCTATCTATCTATCCTTGTCAAAATCAAGTATATTATCTCTATGGATCTTGCTTAAAAATACATCTATCTATCTATCTATCTATCTATCTATCACATACTCTCCAGAAAAGTCGGACTACGGCCATATCATAACATTGAGAAAGATCAAGCATGGTGAGATTCGAACACAATAACATTCTGTTTCTATCACAGGTTTCTATGATGTTGCCATTTTATTCATATTGTTAATTTCGCGCATGAGCGTTTTTTGTTTTTGATTTTCTCAACTGTATAGTCGTGTCAGTTGGGCACCGTCTGCGAGAAAAATGCACCATGACGCAATTCACTCCGAAAGAAATTTTCGAAACAGAATGTTCTACTGCTTGGCATTCACCCTGGAAGCTCCAATACGAATATTTCAATGTTTGGGTGTCAATTTCTGGACAGTACATCGGATACGGAAAGAGCTGGATGCGTCTAATAGTGATTACAATGGTGTTTAGAATGAACACTAATGATGTAAAGGTTATGCTTCTATTCATCTCTCCACAGGTCTTTAGACCCAAGACGAAGGCCTAAATCACGTATGGTCGTATGTCCATCTGTTTATTGTTCTTCGCGAAAGAGTTTCTTTGCATGATATTTTGAATACAGCAGAGATAATTTCCTCTGTTTTATGAGTTCTGTCTATTTCCGCAGAATCTTGGCCTTCCAGATAAATTCCTTTTTGGCGAAATTGCCTGCTGGTTTGAGTCGTAAACCTCTTCTATAACTGATTTAGGAATTTATTTGGAATTTACATTCTGGTATAACTGAATAACAAAATGAAAAAAAAAAGTTCCACGTTAATATGCTTGTCCTTCGAAAGGACTTCTTGAGACATATAACTTCTTTATCGACAGAACCATATATATGCAGAGAACGAGAAAAAATTACAATAGGCGCCTGTTATAACACTGCTGTGGCTTTGTTCTAATAGGAGATACGTATGCTTCTGCACAGTAGCTTTTCGTAGACAATGCTGAAATCAGTGCACTTTCAATATATTTTTGCAGAGATAAATTATTTTCAGGTGAATAGAAGTTTATGGGATCATATTTGTTGGTAGATTTTTTTTCCTAGGTGTTTTGTTTACATTATAATCAGTACTTTATTTTCGCAGTTCAGCCCATGTAAGTCAATAAAGTCACTAAGACTGAAGTGGATACTAAATATGAAATAATATAACAAAAATAGAAAAAAATTAATAGAGGGACCATTAACAGAAAAGGAATTAAGATGACAAACGATGAGGAAGAAAATGCAAAAGAATTAGAATGTAGAAAAACTACTCAGAAGCAAGAAGAATAGAAGAATAAAGTGTAGAAAACAATTGACATTACGTTTAAATGTTAAAGTCGGAAGTCGGTTTTACAAGTGAGAAGTATAAGAAATGTAACATATAAAGAAATGACCATTAAAATGTTGGAACTCGTAATGCATGCAGTTTTTATTTTTACTTTAAATCCTGATATTTACTTTGTGATGATATTATGCCAGTGTGTCGAAGGACAATGTATCGAATGACGAATGGTCAATATGTCAAACGAACACTGACGAATGGACAAAGTGCCGGGCGGAAAATGTGTCAGACTGTAACGAATGGAGATAATGTCACAAAGGCCAAATTTTTAGACGGACAAAATTCTGAACAAAGTAAAAACGAACATATCGCCATTATTTTTAAAAAATAAGAAAAAAAAAAAAAACTCAGTTCAGATAACTGTCCTGGGTAAGACGATAAACTACATCCAATAGCAAAACCTCTGATCAGGAGATTTTGAGGAGCGTGGAACCACTTCTTAATTGCTGGTGTTTCCCGGGTCCACCCTGACATGGGGTAGTAGAACTTGTTAGGGTCCGAGCTATAGGCAAATATTTAACCTCCAAAGAGGGGTCACAACACTACCAAACGAAAGTGTAAAAAAACGTTTTAATTCCAAAATTACTTTGTAAAAAAATTATTGCCAGCTATACATTTCTGAAGAAAAATTATTATCTGCAATACATTTTTGAAAGAAAAAAAGAACAGCTATATATTTAAAAAAATATCAAGAGCAATAAAAATCTTATTGGTATTAAATAAACACTGAGGTCAATATGCTGTAAAGCAAAGCTAACCAAATCAAACCAAATCAGTTCAAATAAACCATTCAACTATTCTAAACATTTTTATTGCTCACCTTTGGCATCATTTAATAAATAAGAGGCTTAAAAGTGATTAAAGGAATGGCTCATAATCTCTGACGATATTTTGGTACAATTGTAATTTCCTCATAAATAAGAAAAAAAACCATGTTTGTTTTTACCACAGTTGTAATTTCCCATGAATAAATATTTTAACACTTTCGTATTCAGATCATTATTTAATATATATATATATATATATATATATATATATATATATATATATATATATATATATATATATATGTATAATATTTAGATTCTTGTATATATATATATATATATATATGTATAATGTCTTCTATTTAGATTCTTGTATATATATATATATATATATATATATATATATATATATATATATATATATATCTTCAATTTAAATTCTTGTATATATATATGTATATAATGTCTTGTGTATATATATATATATATATGTCTTTTTGTATATATATATAATGTAGTCTTGTATATGTATATATATATATATATAATGTATTCTTATATATATATATATATATATATGTATGTATAATGTCTTCTATTTAAATTCGTGTATATATATATATAATGTCGTATTGTATATATAAATATATATGTATATACAATGTCTTCTTGTATATATATATATATATATATATATAATGTCTTCCGTTTAAATTCTTGTATATATATATATATATATATATATAATGTCTTCTTGTATATATATATATATATATATATATATATATATATATATATATATAATAATGTCGTCTTGTATATATATATATATATAATGTCGTCTTATATATATATATATATATATATATATATATATATATATATATATATATATATATATGTCTTCTTGTATATATATATATAATGTCTTCCATTCAAATTTTTGTAGATTTCAGAAGAGCGGGAGAAATCCTGACGAGAACCAAGCATGACATTTTTGACAGAAACACATGCTACGTAGTTTGATTTACACAGAAAAAAAAAACATTGTAGATTCAATATTAATTTTCCCTGGTTAAAAAAACAAAAAAACAATCATCAATAAAGAATATAGCAGTAGACCGAATATGAGTATGTTGGTTTTCAGACCATATCATTAACTTTGCGAGTCACATTGTTCCTTTCCCTTTAACCAGGAATTTATTCTGAAATTTTGCATGATACATTCATCAAAAGTCACGTTTTATCTGCGAATATTCTAGCAAAATCTATATTTACAATTCCATATATAGGGGGTGTATGAAAATCAATTGATTTATATATTTTATTTTCCCCAACAATGGTTGAAATGAAAAAAAATATGTTGATAAAAAAAAATCCCATCATTATAATTCTAACGTGGCACAAAATTTAACCAGTTAAAAAAATGATGTTGCAAAATTCTGAATATATATATATATATATATATATATATATATATATATATATATATATATATAAAAGGCAAGTAGAAATATGGAAAAAGTAAGCGAGTTATTACCAAATCGTGAGAGTATTTTATTCTCTTTCATCTATTGATGCTGGAAGAGAAACTGACATTAAGGTTCAACCTGTGCAAGTCCCGAATGTCCAATCGTGGTAGAGGATCACGTTAAGAGGCAGTTTATACGTATAATAGTGGATAACGGTTAAACCTAGACTTGAACAGGTTAACATCGTAGTGATCAGGGAAACATCCACTTGGGAGTCGGTTCCACAGAGCAGTGGTTTGAGGGAAGACGCTGTTTGAGTTAAACTTCCTTCTCACTGATGGTGTCGAAATTTAGCTTTAGCCAAACTCGGCGCAAAAAAAGTTGGGAAACTTTGTCATTACGTCCAATGACGGGAATCCCGCGTAACACAGTTAACAGAGACCTGAAACCATAAATATACAACCATAACAAGTGAGATAAAGAAGGAGGAAAAACCACTTGAAATAGCTATAAAATTTACTGAGGGAAAAGAAAAAAAATAAAATGAGGGGGGAAAAATAGTCTGATGTTAAAGTTCACTGGCACAACCTGAAAATAACTGCCAAAAACCTTCCTTTTGGCGAGCCATTAAAAAGGACTCCGATAACAGTTCAGAGAGAGTGAAAGAGGCAGAGAGATAGCAGAAAGAGGGGAAAAATTAGACTTACTGTTAAAAAAAAATAGCTTTAGTATTTTTTTTTAAGTAGCTGGGCAGAAAGGTTTTTAGATATTTTTTTTTGAGTTGCTCTCCTTGGAAGATAAGCAAGCTTCCTGTTAAAAATAAATGCAGACTTGTTTTTTCAAACTTTCTCTGCGACACAAATTCAACTTCTAGAGACGACTTAGAAGATCTTTTTTTCACATACTTTTTTTCCACGTCAAAATTTCGTCCACGAAATAGGACAAAATAACTCCTCGAAGGAAGGTAGCTTTTCAATCGCTTAATTTTGACTTTTTTCTCTCTTCGACCTGATTGTCAAAAGAAGACTTCCTTGAGAATGTTCTATTGTAAATTCTCTTTACAATAATTTCTCTAACTGATTTTTTTGATAAGTCTTTACTGACTTGTTCTTTGGTTGCTGAACAATAATCCACTTGATTACTTGAACAGACTTGACTTCAC